TTATTGTTCAGAGATCACATTTATTATTATTATTATTATTATTATTATTATTATTATTATTATTATTATTATTATTATTATTATTGTAGTGTTCAGTGGTTCGTTCCTGTTAAAATCAAACATAATTAACTGGCCGATATTATAATGTTATTACTTCTCTTCAACAAATAAGGTCTTTCTTGCACAATGAAGCTAATAATTACACAAGTCCATCAACAATTAGGAATTATATGAGATAAAAGTGTGTTATTGATCAAGAAGCTGGAGTATACAGTAAGCATTATATAGTACGTGGTAGTGGAGAGAGCAGTCCGGTTTAATTTACTTAACTTTATCCTTTTCGTCGCTGGTTGGGCAGGTACTGTGCATGCATTGGCTGCTGGGGTAAAATTAAGACAAAAGGGGTCCAGGGCAAGGGGTCATTTTAGGGGTCCAGGGCAAGGGGTCATTTTAGGGGTCCAGGGCAAGGGGTCATTTAGGGGTTCAGTGCAAGGGGTCATTTTTAGGGGTACAGGGCAAGGGGTCATTTTAGGGGTCCAGGGTTGGTTTAGGGGTTCCAGGGCAAGGGCTTGGTTTTTAGGGTTCCAGGGTAAGGGGTTGGCTTTAGGGGTTCAGGGCAAGGGGTCATTTTAGGGGTCTAGGCAAGGGGCTGCTTTAGGGGTCTAGGCAGGGGTCATTTAGGGGTCTAGGCAAGGGGTCATTTTAAGGGTCCAGGCAAGGGGTCATTTTAGGGTACAGGGCAAGGGGTCATTTTTAGGCTCCGGGTACTTATATAATTTTTCAAAAGGTCACCCGTACGACTTAACTTTAACTAGTTTATTTTTTCGTCTACTTTGTTTATATTTGTTACGCTGGGGGGGGGGTTCCTGGGCAACTGCTTTGTTTGCCCTGCCTTTTTCGACCCTGGCTGGCTCTACTAAGTTCCTGAACCTGCGCTAGTGTCTGAGTGTTGGTCAGGTCTGATCTTAACTGTCACTCCCTGCTCTCACAACAGTCTGTGGCAGGTTATTGCATCAATTCACAACTCGTACTCCAAAAAAGTTAGATCTAAAAAAGCACTTGAGAGTACTGGTACAGTCTCACCCAAAGTTCGTTAACTCTCCCAGCCAGCTATTGGTGCATTCCTGCTTCAGATGTATGAACTTGATTCTGTTGCTTCGAACCTTTAGATCCATTCGTATCGGTTTCATGTTCTGGTTGGTACTGAGACAGTTTCAAACATCTGAAGCAGACAGTGCAGCAATAGCTGGATGGGAAAATTAACGAACTTTGGGTGAGACTGTACCAGTACTCACAAGTGCTTTTTTAGAGCTGTTATGCATTTTTACCACTGCTCATATATATATATATATATATATATATATATATATATATATATATATATATATATATATATATATATATATATATATATATATATATATACTGTACATACTGTACACTCTGTGTGTGTGTGTTTTTTGGATTGCTTTGGTCAGAGGTTAACCATTGTCCTCTCTTATTACCCTGTCATTAATTCCATCTTCTCTAATGATGCGTGAAGTACGTCTAGCAGCTGTGTGTTTTGGTATGGGTTGCATAGTAGAGAAAACGGCTTTATTTCCGTCTTGCAGTAGATTACGAGACCTCCAGAGTCACCATAATTACGAAGGAAGGTCAGTCGAGTTGTGGACTTCGTATATCTTCAGTGAATCACCACCGCAGGAGTTTATGAACTCTTAAGGCGCACTTACGATGTTAGTTGTCCGTTAGTGAATCTTGGCCCATTTTTATTATTATTATTATTATTATTATTATTATTATTATTATTATTATTATTATAGTTCTCCCTTGTGTAGACTGAAAAACGCTTTTTTGTAGGTTGTGTATCAATTGGTTAATCTGCTATGAAGCTTATTATTATTATTTTATTTTGTATTAATAGCCTGACATTTAATAATTGTTATAGTTTAATTTAATTTATCTGTATAATCTGAAGAAAAAATTAATACACTGTATAAGCGTTGAGGCTAACTTTATTTTTTTTTGTGGGGGAGGATGTTGAATCAGCTGACGAGGTGAAGCTGTGGGCTGAGGTGTTCTATCTATTTTATCACTATTAATGCTGTTAAACTGGTAGGTATACATTCGATCAAGTGAGAGAATGATTTGTGTTGCTTTATAATAATTTAGTTTATTATAGTGACTACTGATCCACCATACAGTTACGCCTGGTAAAGGTGAACACTGACATTGGAGGTGTGTTCTGGGCCCATCATACGAATGTGGCTCCGACTAATTACCCAAATGTACCCAAATGTAGCCGGAATGAAGTCAAATAATGGTCCTAGATGAATAAATCGGACTGCCAATCACTTCTCTACTAGTATTTGGTGTCAGAAAGTCACAAAAAATTGGAAAACTTACTTTAATCTGAGTTAATAGATCGCGTGCATGTACCGAGGGAGCGAGGAATTACCCAAATGTAGCCGCAATGAAGTCAAATGATGGTCGTACAAGCGTAATTCGGGCTGTGAATCACTTCTCGATTATTATTTGGTGTCATAAAGTAAAAAAAAATTGGTAAACTTAATTTAATCTGAGTTGTGTTAGGTTAGGTTAGGTTATTTTAGGTTAGGTTAGGTTATTTTAGGTTAGGTTAGGTTATTTTAGGTTAGGTTAGGTTAGGTTAGGTACAGGCATTTGATCTATTAACTCAGATTAAATTAAGTTTACCAATTTTTTGTGACTTCATGACACCAAATACTGTAGTAGTCGAGGTTAGGTTAGGTTAGGTACATGCACTCGTTCTATTAACTCAGATTAAAGTAAGTTTACCAATTTTTTGTGACTTTGTGACACCAAATACTAGTCGAGAAGTGATAGGCAGTCCGATTTATTCATCTAGGACCATTATTTGACTTCATTGCGACTACATTTGGCTACATTTGGGTAATTAGTCGGACCCCAATTTTGATGCTATTGATATTTTCAAGGCCCATCAGGCATTCCTTACTACTTAAAGAGTCCTAAGTGTAGTGCAGTGTTCATAGATGATGTTAAATTTGTGTGTCTTAAATTAAGTATAATAATAATATCCTCCAAAAGACCATGATTATTCTTGATAATAATAGGTAGGTGGGAGATGTAATATTCCTGGTTATGTTACATAGTTTGGTGATACACACGAACCAACGAAACCTGACTACCTAACCTATGTGTTTGTGTGGGCAGTTGACATACAGACACTTTATATGGGGAAAGTTTGATAGGTCACATTGGGGTCCAATGAATTACCCAAAAGTATATTAAATCAGGGTAAAATCTTAATGAATATCTGTTATACATACACAAAACATGTCTCATAATATTTTTTGTGTAATTTTGTAAAAATAATTTGTAATATGAAATAATAAACAGCGAAAAACTTTCAGTATTGGCGAACGCTAAATTCCAAAGAGTTCGTGAACAAGGGAGATAACTCAGATCCATCGTGATGCACATCGCTAACCTAACCTAACGAAAAGTAAATCCTACGGCTATGTTAAATACCCCAAAGTAACAGAAACATTGGTAATTATATCTCCATTTTGGATAGGTGACTCTTTGGAATTTAGCGTTTTTCGTTGTTTATTATTTCATTATTTTGACTACATTTCAATGAAAACATTATTAATCAGGTTTTATTGATGTAAAACATATATTCGTTAAGATTTTACCCTGATTTAATATACTTTTGGGTACTTTTGGGTAATTCGTTGGACCGGTCACATTGTGTTTGTCATTTGTCATGCACAACATAAGGCAGGAGACAGTGGCAGTTCGATATTTACAAGAAAATTTTGGGACAAAAACCTAAATAAGAGAGTCCCATTCCTCCACCCAGTTTGCTTTAATTTTTAGGTAAGAAATAAGTTTTCTTCTACAGAGATTTTTTCGTTGGGTGCCTTTGGTTGTACAGTAGTTATAAAGAGTTATCCTGAAATATTTAATACAAGAGAGCATAAAAGAGAACTGTGTTAAGGTGTTGACTGTTTCTATACACTATGCAGCCATTAGACTGACATTAAACTGTTCATTAAAGTTTACATGAACCAAGTTCAGAGTACTTCATGTTAATGATGGTTTATTTTATAAGGGCATTTCACAAAAACACTTGATTTATAGAATATAGATCTGGCAGTGGAGCAAGAAATTAGCATTTTTTTATTTATTTAAGAAGCAACAAGTACACCTTGGGCTCTGTACCACCAGTGCTTTAATAATCTAAAAATATATATACAGTATACTGTATATCCAGTAGTACATACAGTACACAGATTACTGAAATTCCTTCAATCCATACATACTAAAGTTTAAATATACTGTACAGTAGTAATTTAGTGGTGGACTTTTAAGTCACCTGTGTGCCAGAGGCTTAGACCATGGCTCACTTGCCATGTCTTTTGGATATTTAAAATAATTCTTCAAAATTTTGACAATGGATCCATTACCACACATGTATTCCAGCAACAAATGTGACAGTTACAGTATAAACAAACACTCGAGAACCATTGGGTTAGTTGTGTCCATGTTGTGCGGTACCACACAGTACAGTACAGTATTATGTCCTTTACTACTCAATACACTGACGGAGAATTGTAATTGTAAGATTTTCAATTAAATTTTTGTTACCAGTGCAGTATATTATAAGAAAATGATGGTCACAATGCTAGTTCCTAAAATACATTGTATATTGAGTGTTGCTTAGTATTTAACATGATGATTGTGGATAAATCTTTATACTGTACACTACTGTGTGTGTAATAAATCTTTACATGTGTATTTTAATGAGATAGAAATTAAAAAAATTATTTGTAGTTCTGGATGATAAAATGTCTAAAGGGTAAAGTACAAAGGTATTGGTGTGTGATCAGAGATAAGATTATATTCCCAGTACTATCAGTATGGTGCCCATAGTTAAAGAATAATACAAGTAGATAGCAACCTTTAGTGGTCATCCTTATCATTGGGGTCGAGTCTAGTATGTTGGTGATATAAGTGAGGTGACCTCTCTTGTTAATTGTAGCAACACATCCCAGACAGCAGCACACAGACAGGTGTCATTAGTGTGTTTGAACATGTTTTTGGATTTTGATGTAAGTATTTAAAACTTAAAATGTAAATTTATTTTTAGTTACTGATTAATGTCCACACATACACATACAATGTACAGTCCTATTCATTAGGGCATTTAATATTGTTTTAATTTCATTTCATAATATGTTAACTACTTATTCTAAATTCCTCGCACAAACCCTGACACAACCTGATGAGTCTCTGTAATTGCACAAGTGAAGAGACTGTACATTGTGACATCTGTGCTCTATTAAACATTGAAGACACATACAGGTACATTAATGTTACATAATAAAACATAATAATAACTTGCAAAAACATGAAACTTTTACGAGTTAAGATGTTCACAGCCCCGGGGACTGAGTTGTATGGAGGGAGGCTCTTGTCTTGAGGAGGGTCATTGGTATCTAATTCTGTGTTGTAGACTCTTACTACAGTCACTCCTCGACTTACGACAACCCGGACATATGACGGTCATGGTCGTATAAAATATTTTTCACATTACGTATTTTCGAGTCCCGGCGTTAGTGATCGCGCTGTGTACTGAGAAAATTTTCGTTTGTAATTCCCTTTAAAGTGGCTGGCAAGCATAAAAGTGAGAGTTCTCGTGGTGCTGAGAAGAAAAAGAGACACCCATTTTAGAATTTCTATGTCACGACCAATTCGACTTGCTGACCTGGTCGTCGGGACGGAACCCCGTCGTAAGTCGAAGAGAGACTGTATTTTAGCTTATCAACAGTGCTTGTACTTTTTACTTACCCACTCATGCACTACTGCTACTCTACCTACCTTGGTGAAGATGGATGGTCTGCATCACACAAAGACCACAGAACAGTCTCTTGAGCAGGGTGTATGTGCAGCATCAGTAAACAAAGTACCGGTATAGATCACCTGAAGATTCAATCCCTCCAGCTTATTTCACCTGAAGATTCACCCCCAGCATAATTCACCCGAAGAATCATCCGCCTAGCATATTTCACCTGGATATTAATTACCTTAACACTACCTGGATGGGGTTAGATTAGATTAAATTGGAGTATGTCAGGTTAGGATTGTGGTGGTTAATGTATAAGTGAAGTGAGCTGGGGTTGAATATTCAGGCAATCCCAAAGTGCTAGGCACATAACCACCACCTCCTCTGATATAAAGTGCAGCTCTTGTGAATGTGTGATGTTCACCTGTACAATTTATTACACTTGTATGTATATATTTTAATTTTTATATATATCTTTTAGAAAGGTGCAAAGATTTACCAGATAAGATACAGTTTTATCCAGATTAAGGGGTTTACACTAGACAATACACAAAATTTGCACTTTATTCTAATTTGGATATTTTTTGGTAGTGTTAAATTATTCAGCATTTTTATTTTTTTTTACATTGGTCTGAATGTCCAGTTTTGGACACTGGGGAATTTGACAAGGGTAGAGCCACAAAGTTGGTGGTCCATATATACAACAGCTGATATCATCATTTTGTTAACATAGTGACATACAAATTCTTTATTTTGAATGGTGATGAATAAGGTAATAACACTGGGGGCATAAGATGATGCACTATAATGATTTAGACAATACGTACTGTAGCTTAAACTTGTGTAGTAGTTGAAAAGATGGGCATCGGCAAACATGTCAGTGTTCATGTTTTGATTACAGTACTGTACTGTATTATGCAGTTGCTGTAAGTAAGCCTACATGTGTTTTTACTTTTCAGGTGGATACAACAGTTTTTAATACTGTAATGAAAAATAGTTTTAAAATATTGTGGTTTGATTATACAAGTATTCAAACAATGTACTGTACTGTACTATAGTAGGTACTGTAGGTACTTTAGTTTTACAATGGAAGACTACAGTTGGTAAAGTTAGGTTAAACAAAGTCTTTTATACTTAAGTGAATATAAATTTTTCATTGCTTATTTTCTCTTCAGAAAATGATTGGAATAATAATGATAGTGTACCAGTACGTACTGCTGATGTGCGACTTCGTGCATCTGGTGGTTATAGCAGCATTTCTGACGGCTAAATCCATGTGGTATCTTCTGTTTCCTCCTCCAATGAAGTCTGTCACCGGAGAAATTATTTTGGTGAGTAAAGCACTTGAAATTTTCCTTCTGCTTTGAAATGAAAAAGAAATGTAATTATTTTTGTTTTGTAACCGAATCATGTGAAGATCGGCCCTCCTAGTTTATTTCACCCGATGATTAAACACACTAATGCTACCTGGGGGAGTAGGTTATGTTAAGTCAGCATTAAGGTGCTTAATCATCCGGTGTAATAAGCTAGGGTATCTAATATTCAGGTGATCCAGGTAACCTAATACTGTCCTCTACTGTACATCCTGTAATGATCCTTGTCCCCAGAGAGGCATTATTAATATTTCTGTCACTCTAGATATAGTTCAAGTCATCTTTAATTTAGAGAGAATCGTAAGCATCTCTCTCTTACACATCCCAGCTTATAGTCTGTCTTTTTTCTGTTGTAATTTGTCTTAATCAATTCCAAATATACGTACAGTATATGTTTTATCCATTGTGTGTACTCTCTCTCTCTGTTGCTTCACACTTCCCAACATTGGTATGATCCAGTGTTATTCTCCTTACCACATTTCATAACTTAAGTTTCATGTCTTTAATATAAATTAGATATATATTTTTTTTTTATTAATTGTTGGTTTTTTTTCATTAATATTTTTGTTATTAACTGCTATGTTTTATTAATATTACTGTATAACTTATTATTATTAACATCAATTATAGCAAGTGAAGAAATAATTTAATAACATTAATATATTTTTCCTTCATTTATATATCTCATCTTGTAGGTGACTGGAGCGGGTCATGGCATTGGACGAGAGCTGGGACTTCAGTTTGCCCGGATGGGAGCCAAAGTTGTGTGCCTGGACATTAACGAGGTCTGAGTGTTTATCTCTTACTCTACAGTACTGCCTTGTTCATATGTTATTCCTTTATGCTGTTCACTTTACTTGAGCCAACCCTTGAATAATATATCTATGATAAAGTGTATATTGTGACATTAGTTATTTGTACATATAAGTTAACATTTCTTATCTCTGTTCATTTTATTCATCTTCTTTATGTGTTACCTCAGGCAAACAACACGAAGACAGTAACAGACATCAAGCGGGAGGGTGGAAATGCCTGGGGTTATAAATGTGACGTCAGCAGTCAGGAGGAGGTTCAGGAGGTGTCTAGGAAGGTGTGTGTGTGTGTTTTTGTCCAGTTTCATTTTACATTTATACCGGAGAACTCAGTCAATTGTTATTTCCAGGTCTCACTAGAGGTCCAGTGAGGGCTGTTTCCCCTTTTGGGTCCAGTGTTAATACAGGAAAGAGTTGATTGCTTTTTATTTGTCATCAAAGTATATGCTTGAAATATGGTGTTTACGGTATATGTATCTAGTGAATGGTTCATGATTGACACGTGTTTCATATAAATAGAAATATTCAATTAACTTTTCCAGTTTCTTAAATCAATGTGCAAAGTGATGGAGGGATTCCCTTTTACAGTATTTCTTGCTGTTGCAAAGTATATAATAAGTACATAATGCAGCTCTTTGCCTTATATCAAATTATTTAAGAATATTAAAAATATTAGTAATCAGTATGACTTGCTTTTTGGAAACATGGTTACCTAACTAACTTAGTTTCTGGGGTAAAATTTCCTATAAAATATGTTTGCAAGAGAAGTATTCCTTTATTTCTTATGTAGTGTTGAGAAGATCTGCCTGGGAGCTGTGCAGTAAACTTAAACTGAATACAAACATTTCCACAGACTGCTCTTAAAAAATTAGAACATGTCCTCTTACAGTAGTGTGTGTTGGGTTGGTTGTGGACACATTTTGGCATAAGATTTTCCACTTTAGCTGTAGTGAATGAATCTCAGAAGAGGATGAATCATATTGACCTGAATACTTGGTTGTAACTGAATGCCAAACATGAGAAGTAATAGATAAGTGTTGGGTACAAACTGACTGTGATTCTGGTAGATGTATTGTACAGTAAACGGCAAATCACAGAGAAGTGAAAAATCATGGAAAATAGTTTAAAAAAAAAGTTACTCTCAAATGGTAGGGGTGTACATATACACCCCTATAAATCCATTAGTGAATTAGTAATACTTCAGTCAAGTGCCGTGAAACTGGCAAGTTTAGTTCGTGAATTGAAATTTCAGATCCGTCAGGAGGCTGGGGAGGTGACCATCCTAGTGAATAATGCTGCCATCATGCCCTGTAAACCCTTCATCAAGCACACCTCAGGGGACATAAAGAACATCTTCAACGTGAACCTTTTTGCTCACTTCTGGGTAAGGATAAAAGAGATTACATGAAGATTAGCCCCCAGCTTGTTTCACTTTCAGATTAAATGCCCTAACACTACCTGGGGGTTAGGTTAGAGTAGATTAGGTTAGCATTAAGGTGTTTAATCTTAGAATGAAATAAACTGGGGCTAATCTTTGTGTTATCCCAATGTTTAAAGTACAAGTTTTACAACCTTTCTTTTTTTTATAGAATTTTCCTAAGAACTAAATTTATTTCAATTATATGGCCATTCCTAGACAAAATGTAGCAGTATAAGGGTTAGAATTATTTTAATGTTACAGAATGATAGGATATCCTATGTGGATCAGTTTCACTGTGTGGTGATGCCAGGTCTTCACATATTGTTGCCATGCCTGGTTTGGTATATTGGTAGACTGTGGCCAAAGTCTTCTGAATTTTAAAAAGCCTCACTTGCTGAATAAAAGAAGTGTCATCAGGTGGAACAGATACTTCATATATGGTAACAAGTTCACTATTGATAACAAAATACCTTGTAGGTCTATGTAAGCTACTCTCCTGGCTTCATCACCTTATGTTAATTTTCATATTACTCAGCTAAAAAAATCTATAAACACATACAGTAATATCTCTGTTAGCCGGAATCCCTCAAACCCAGAACTATCCAATAGCCGGAATTGAAATTCTCTCGGAAAATCGTTCCCAAATACCCAGAAAATTCCGGGGATGGGGAAGTTTTTTTTCCGGGTTTGAGAGATGAAAATCAGGTGCACTTTCTGCAAATTCAGAGAAAATTTTCCGTTGCCCTGAAAATTCCGGGATGAGGGATTTTTTTCCGGCTTTGGGAGACTCGTCTTGTTACCCGGAAATCTCTCATTCCCGGAAATGCTCTGCACCAATTGTTCCAGCTAACAGGAATATCACTGTATAAAGGTATTAGGTTATGTCATATTTTAAAAGAAATGACAAAAAAATACAATAACAATGTTGGGCGGAGTGATTGTGCTGTATATACAGTACAGGTATATGGAAGTATTAATTAGTGAAGCATAATGAATTTATAAAAGAAATATGGTAGTTCATACTCAAGTCTGTTACAAGGAAGTGAAGGACATCATCAATGTAGGGTGATGGGTACTTAAAGCTTCCAAATATGGAAGAAAATAACTGGTGTACTTTTTTCTGTTTCTTTAAATGTTCATATAAAATGAGTGAAACATATAGTAATACTGTTTCCTTTTGCAGACTTTGCAAGAATGGTTGCCTTCATTTCTTGCAGCTGGCCGTGGTCATGTTGTTGCTGTGTCGTCCATTGCTGGCCTCATGGCAACCTCTAACATTGTACCATATTGTTCATCAAAGTATGCTGTCAAGGGTGAGATTGCAAATTGATACTTCTTCTGGTTATTGACTTAGAAGTGATAAGAAATCTTTATTGTTGGCACTAGGGACAGTAGTGTAATTATCAGTGTGATTATTTTATAAGTCTAAATCAGAGGTGGATGGTGGGAGAGAAGAGTAAGATAATAGAAGGGAAGGAAAGGTGAGGTGATGGACCATGGTTGGCCAATTTAAATCAATTGTTTAAACTGAACAAAAAAAACATAGTATATTTTTGTAATATGTGCCTTTATTTTTTGTTTTAATAATATTTGGGGGGTTTATTACTTACAGATGGTATTAATGATTTATACCTGTAGTAGATTTGGGAAGGGCATATGATAGGGTGAACAGAAAAGCATTGTGGGAGGCATTACAAGTGTATGGGGTGGGAAGAAGGCTATTAAATGCAGTAAAGGCAGTCTATGAGAACAGCAGGGCAACAGTAAGAGTAAATGGTAAAGAAAGTGAAACATTTGAAATAAATGAGGGTGTTAGACAGGGATGTGTTATGTCCCCGTGGATTGCGAACTAGATATGGTAGAATTTAATGTACAGTATTTCATTATTGATTTTCTGAATATTTTAAGGTGCCATTTTTATAGTATTGTCACCACTTGGAAATTACTTTAGCTTTTCATTTACTGTACATGTAATTAATCATGTTCTAGTACTGTACTGTACTGACATTTGTGAATAAACTTTGTGATATTGCTCAGGCTTCACTAATACTGCTACAGTATAGGAATACAATACAGTACCTATATGTTACACCTAAATCTCTACTTGTATGGTACTAATATATTTTTAATTAACCCCAAAATATGAATTTAATTATTCTCATCAACATTTCACATATCAAGGAGCATATTTTTCCCAGGTTTGATGGATGGCATGACTGAAGAGCTGCGTTATGGTGGCAGGAACCCAAATATCAAATTTACTTGTGTTCATCCATTCATTATTGACACTGGTCTTACTAAGAAACCTCGAATTAGGTAAGAGAACAAATGTGTTAAGCAGGCATTTTTGTATAAAAAAAATAATTACTATTGGCCTCAGAATATCTCCTAATATCAAGTGCACATGGCTTCAAAATGACCTCAAAATGCCCAGGATATTGGTCAGATTTCCAAAAAAAATTGGGGGGTCGTCTTACAGTTCCCCCCTAAAATCCCCCCAGCTGAGTGGACTTTCTGTGCTTGCCATGTTCCCCCACCTACAACTTTTTGGACCCCCCTCCCCCCCTTTTTTTGATATTCCAGGATCCACCTCTGTTAAGTCTGGGTTGTTCTTCTTCATGTAGTTTGTGCAGTACTGTATAATCGGAGGATGAACATAAACTGCATGAAATTATGATAATGAAAATTCTTTTGGAGCATTAAGCCAAAGGTGGAGAGGCAGTAAGATGTGTTGTCAGGGTTGATGGTTGTTATTATTAAGATTAGAGACACAAAGGTTATAACAGGTAATGTTTAGAGGACATGGATGAAAGCTGTATAGGATTGTGGGATGAGAATTTTTGATATTTTATAGCTGTTCCATCAACTCTGTAAGCCACTTTCTTATTTTCTCAACCAGTCATCAACAAAAAAGATTGAATGCCACTGACTCACTAATTCAGACAAATATTATTTCTTATGCTGTTGCAGTGCTGTGTGACCTGACTCATATTTGTGCTTTTCAGGTTCCCATCTTTCAACCCCATCACCACACCAGAAACCTGTGCTGCCAAGATCATTGAAGGTGTCTGCAGGGAAGAGGAGGTTGTGTGCATTCCTTCTAGGGATTATTATGGACACATAATAATGGGGTAAGGATGCTTTTAATGATTAAAGTCTCACAGTGTTGGCCAATAAATTTTTTTTACTTGGTCAGAATCCAATCAACATATTCTGACTATGAAGGGGGGAGGGGAGGGGGGGGTCACAGAAAAAACCTCCTTGTGCTTCAATTTTAATCATTTCTCATTATTGACACAAGGTCAAATCACTCTCTCATTGACAGATGAGCAAGTTGTGCCTTCCATATCTGGTTGCATCATCCAGATCTTCCCTGTTTGCTGGCTGTACTGTATGTGGTCTAAATTTGGTTTTGGACTCTTCAGTTTCATAAAAATGCAGGATAAAGAAGAATGAACTCTTTATCAAAAAAATTTGAGTAGTGCATGAGCATTTATGGCAGTGTATACTGAAAGTAAATATAACACAAATTTACTTCAAACTTGGCCTAGCTGGCTGGCCACTAAGAGTACTTATGAGTTGGCCAAAAGTATCATCCACATCCCTATAGAGTTGTGTCAGTAGATTATGTGTGACAGGTTAAATGTGCGTCAACTTTAACATGAATATTAGTAAAGTGTTAACGTTATTTTCAGGCTGCTGCCACGAGAAGTACGAAAAGCATTCTTGGACTTCATGGACACAGGAGTGGATGAGGATTGTTAATTGTTACCAGTTCCTCTGTATTTGAAGAAGTGAAGCACTATTGTTACCACACTTTCATCATCATTGTGTAGGTGCTCTTCAGTTAAGTTTTTCCATTTTGGTCAATGTGCTGAAACAGATGAATATTTGTTTGCTCACAAAAGTATGTGAAACTTACTTAAAGTTATCAACAGGTTTTACTTTTAATTGGTTACAGACATTGATATTTTTCGATGTGAAATAGTAAGACTAACTCTCTTACAAGTAGATTGAACATTTTGAGTAAAGGTTTTGGTTAGTGTCTGAATGGTAACTATAGGCTGTGATGATAGTGATGATGCCCATTCCACTTAAAATTAAAAACATAAAGGTTCACTGTGAAGTACTTGGAAATCGAACAACTTGAAACATATAGGAATGACTGTAGTAATTACTCTTCCATAATTTACAATGGACTTTATTTAGTATTAGTTCACTAACACTCCCTGCCAAATCCGTTACTAATACAGTACGGGTAATCAGAAACTTGATAAAATACTGTACTTAGAAAATGGTGACTGCAGTTGTAGGGTGAAAAAGAAGGATGTTGGTAGCTTAGTGTCTTGCTCAGTATTGTTCAGGCTCTATATATAAAATACTGTGCAATATATGTAAAGGATGATGGTTTTTATCAGTATATATATCCAGTATATACAGAATCACTAAAAGGCAAAATTTTATTATATCTGATGTATTTATTTTGTCAGTGCAAGAGTTGCTAATCCTTGGACCCAGAACCTAGTGTAACCTAACTTTACCTACCTATCCTAACCTAAGGTATCCCATCCCAAACTTAATCTAATCAAACTTAAACTTGCACAAGTTAACCTGTCCCAAATGTAACCTAGCTTAAGTTAACTCACCTCTAGCTTAACTTTATCACTCAGCTAACCCAACTTACCCCTGATATAACCTAACCCATTACTCTGCCTTAGTATGACCTAATTTGACCTACCCACACTGTAACCTGACAACCTACCCTAAAGTGCCTTCAACTTAACCTAACAAAGCTCCTTAACCTACACCTTACAAGCTAACGTCAGGTAATCAGTTCCATGGGTGTATTGTGTAAGGTCATGTTCACACTTGAGGGTCTTAGTATAAGGAATAGTTTAGTTTTTGTAGTGAATAAATATGCCAGACTGTGTTATATGAAGTTCCTTGTAATTTTAAGAAACTTATTTTTATGTACCAAGAAAAACAGTTATTATGTTAGAATAAGGATCAATTTTATTATAACCTATTCAGTGATGAGGTAATAGGGTGTATTTAATAAGTTTAAGAGGAAGTAATTAGTTTCATATTGTGTGAGGAAGATAATTGGAGAGTCAGAGCATACTGTGACAAGATCCCTGTGTACTGTATAATGGATGTTGAGTCATGGCATGCAGGTAATCTTATTTTGTTACCTGTATGATCCCAAAGCCATTATTTATTTTATTCGGGTAACTTTATGTATGTTTTATATTTTTTTATCATTATTAGAATTTTAGTATGTAACCATCCCACCGAGCATGATTAACCCGTAAACTGTGTCTATAGCGATTTACCTGTCAACCACTCAGTGCACACAAACAAACACTTGCAGTATATAAATTTTCTCCAAACATCTTTTTAACTCTTGTGAATTAAAAGCCAGCACAGCATTATAGAAGAATGGGGAATCAAATATGAGTCCATTACCTACCTTAGTTTTGCCCCGGTAAATTCGTGCACAATAGGAGACATCACTTCATTGTCAAAAAAGAAAGTAAAATATTCCATTTCAGTCGGTGTCATCACAAGACCAGTCTCGAGTACACCAGCAATTCTGTCATCAAAATAATGGATGTCTGGCACAAAATCTGACCCATCAGTCCACACAAAGGGTGGCAAGGTCATGTCGCACGGTGGGGCACTTGCCCCCACCTCCTCTTCCCTGGCCTCCCCTACCTCCTCCACTGTCACTCCCAGAACCCTTTTCCTCACCAACACTCTCGTTATCCCAATCATCGTTGTCAGATAAGGAGGACATGGACTCATCTGTTTTATAAACTGTGGGGGCAAACTTAGGGGGTGTAAGGTTTTCCATTTTTTCAGATAGAACAGAATGGCACTTAGTGGTAACAAGTGTGGAGGCATCCCTTCTCCACCCTGTATGGCAACATCAGTCTGAGTAGCACATTTTTTCTTTTTCCCTCCCTCACTTCACTCGCTGTCCTGCTCTTACTTCTAGCTTCGTTGTCTCAAGTAGGCAGAGCAACAGCTGTTGATGGAAGCGTGATTTTGTGTTATGAAGTCTTGAGACTAGGACGCACGTCTTGCCTCCATCACGACCGAGATATGACTGCTTTATTAATGGCGCTGGTGGGAGGAGTACTCAGTGGAAAAGCTGCAATGTGTAAACATCCTATACTTGACCCCGGGAGATAATAAAAATATTTGCGCTTTGCATTCCAGAATGTATATTGCACTCCTCCGCTAATCATTTGAGAGTGTGTCACAGTTTACGGGTTTACCTTCATCACTGTTGTTGTCAGGGTCACTGGTCACACCATACATTCCACTCTTGTGTTTATTGTGTATGGACTGTAGTTATTTGAAAGTTGTTTACCAGTTGAGGGAAGATGTTGACCATGGCATTATTTTTGCTAACATTTTTATTAGAACAAATGTACAGTATTTATTTTCCTGGATTTTTTGCATTCCATAGTCCTCAACTTAATGAACAACTCATCTGACTTTGTGTATCAATCTCATCCATTCTCAACTCCTCAGATTGGAACAAGGTACACACCCCTCACAAACTAAGGCTTTCACTTTAGTAAAGGATTAAATTTTGCCATGAGATGATCCTCTAAACTGTCTCCAGTCCTCTGAATTGTTTGCTGTGATAAGTTAAGTCATAGAAACACGATGTCTTCCTTATGGTAACCCCAATGTGTTTCACTCACAAATACCCTCATATCAATCCCTTGTATCAGTGCCTTGACTCGACATGTACACTAATACTGAATTGGGAATTTTTATCTATTGGGTAAAAGGATCTCAGGTTACCTTAATTTTTTTGTGTGCAATACAGTAGAGCAGGCATGGGCAACCCGCGGCCCGGACCATGTGTTTGTGTGGTCCATGGAGAGAATAAGAAATTTTATTTAATGTGGCCCACGGTTCAGGTAGAGGTAGCCAGTTTATGGCGAGTAAAGCAATAATTATTAAAAGAATAATCTTCACTCATAATTCATTACTGTTTTATCTCCTAAGAGTAAGTAGCTATGAAAATGTAATAGTGAAATAAGTATAAATAGTCAACAATATAAGTTTATGGGCCAAGTTCGGTGAGGTCTGTTTGATGGATTAGTTGCTATGTGGCAGTGAGTCACTTGGGAATTAACTAAGGTTGGGTAAGTCAGTGTGGGGTCACAAGTGGTGGTCACACAGGGTTAAAGTAATTAAGTACTTCCAGAATAACAAAAAACACCAAAATCACACCTCAGAAACCCATAGTTGGTGAGTAATTAGCATTGAAGTAATGTAATTAAAATTCTTCCAAGCGTCATTACGACCACTAATTTCCCCACAATCGAACCGTGGACCATAGATTCGGAATCGGAGTACCTATACTGAGATTTTCAACGGAATCAAATTTTTGGCCGAAACCACCAATACGTATATATATATAGAGAGAGGAGAGAGAGAGATGCCTATAGGTTGTTTCATTGTACATTATTTCCTCATGTGCCAAGATTAACATTGGCATTATTTTGGTGGGTGTGTCTCATAGGTAAGATATGCTGTAACTGTAGGAAAAATCAACGTATTCACAGACTGCTTCACTCGTCTGTTAAATGCCGAGAAACATTAACATATTACTTTAAAAAATTATTATGGTGGATTTGTTTCATGAATGGGATAAAGACTGTGATTGTAAACTGAAAATATCGTAAGGGGGATGTGATGATAAACTGTTTCACTGTCTGTGCTAATACAATATTAACATTACTTTTGGGTTAGGTAGGATATAAATTTTGGTTGGTAGGTCCGCAGAAAATTACCTAAATCGTAATGCGGCCCTTGACTAAGGATATATCTGAACCAGTCTGCAGGGAGTACCCATATAAACTTCCTTTAATTTGTGTTATTTCATCATAGTGTTGCTGGTGAAGAAGGTCCTGTGTAATGTTCCATTATAATGTTGACCTTAATCTGCCAGAGTGCAACTACTTTGTGTTGTAGCGCTCATCATCCCCACCTCAATTGACTTTATGTTGTGCCAGCAGCTAGCATTTGTGTTTTAGATATGTTCTTTTATGTATTTTTCCATGTGTACTACAAACTATCCCCAGTATAAGTGCAAAGTACCCAGGAAGTGATAATGCTGTGTGAGTGTGTAGGGGAGTGATAGGCAACCTAGGCTATAGTGCATTTTTTTCCCCAGCTGAGAAGAGATGCCCCTCCCCCTCCTCAAGAGTTACAGTTGATTGGTTGTTGCAAAAACTTAAATTTTAAACGATCAGAGGCCGTGTAATATTTCAATGTGATTCTGATGGTTTAAAATGTTAAGTTTTTGCATAATGTAGTATTACTGTTACGTAATTTGTCTTAGTATGCCTTATTGTGGGTAAAAATAAGTACCTGGTAAAGTTGTATATTAAATGTGTCCTCCGAAAGTGTGAATTTGCTACCCGAGTTCCACAGTTAATTCATGTGCTGTATTATACTTCTGATAAACTTCCTACATGCTCATGTTTTAAATAATGAATGTATGTATCTTTATATAATTTAGTAAATATCTTTCTCGTCAGAAACGGTCATCCCAACGATTATGAATACTTATTTAGAAATACATCATTACTTCAGGATGAAATCGAACAGATTTGCAACAGCCAATCAGCTGTAACTCTTGAGGAGGGGGGGAGGGGGTATATTTACACAGCTGGGAAAACTGCACTATAGTGAGGGTGCCACATGAGTAGCCCTTATTATCTTGGTGGGCCACATGAGTAGCCCTTCATTATCTTGGTGGGCCACATGAGTAGCCCTTCATTATCTTGGTGGGCCACATGAGTAGCCCTTCATTATCTTGGTGGGCCACATGAGTAGCCCTTCATTATCTTGGTGGGCCACATGAGTAGCCCTTCATTGTCTCAGTGGGCCACATGAGTAGCCCTTCATTGTCTCAGTGGGCCATATGAGTAGCCCTTCATTATCTCAGTGGGCCACATGAGTAGCCCTTCATTATCTCAGTGGGCCACATGAATAGCCCTTCATTGTCTCAGTGGGCCACATGAGTAGCCCTTCATTATCTCAGTGGGCCACATGAGTAGCCCTTCATTATCTCAGTGGGCCACATGAATAGCCCTTCATTGTCTCAGTGGGCCACATGAGTAGCCCTTCATTATCTCAGTGGGCCACATGAGTAGCCCTTCATTGTCTCAGTGGGCCACAAGATTGAAATTTGGGATGTGCACTAACCATGACCCCACAAATGATCATAAATACATTTAACACAGGTCAAATATTTCATAATGAGTTAGTGAAAATGTTTGTAATTACCGTATAGTACATCTTAGAGAAGCACAACTACCTAGAGTAGAACACTGAGGTGATCATAAAGTGTTTTTATATAAAAAGTAAATAGGTCTACTTAGTGTGAATCTAAAATTGTCAGTCAAAAGTTATTATAAAATTACCTGTATATTAGTAAAAATCCCGCCAAAGTACAAAAATACTTAATAATTGCCTTTAGTTCAATAAATTGTTAAATCAGTGCTGTTTCTTGTACGATTCTTTCATGTGTAGGGAGGATAGTCAAACACCGTGTCTTGTGGGCTGCACTTATAAGAAGCCTGATGAGCTGCATGTGGCCCATGGGCTGCAGGTTGCCTACCACTGGAGTAGGGCGTGTGTGTGATTTAGGGAGACACCATCAAGAAGAGGTTGGATGAGTGTAGATCACTTGCTGTCGAAGTCACAGATAAAGGACATAGAGTATTCAGTGTTTTTGTGAATGACAGGTATACATGACAACCACATTCCTCTGACAGGCTACTCATTAGTTTTAACATGTAGACTTTAATTTGAAAAGACTGCTGAATGCATTTGTTTTTTTACTTTATTTCATATTATTACCATATTCTTATAGAAAAAACATTCATGTGTTGCCTTGTTATTTATTAATAGCAAAGCCTTTATTTTTACATTGAAGCAAGTATCCATAAAATATTTGGAACGTTAACAAAAATATTTTCAGAATGAACAGTTATGAATGACCTTAGGCATGGTTTTTTGGATATGCAATGGTCAACTCTGTACTACTGTATTATCTCTGGCCATTATTGCTGTTGATAATATTGTAATGGAATTTAACTTTTTGTATCTGTAGTGTAGAAGGGAATGATGGAGACACTGAAGTAAATTTACGAAGGTATGATATAGTACGTTCTGTGCTTAACTTTTATTACCAAAGTTCTTCCATTATGTATACAAAAGCCATAGGCATTTATGTACCTAGTATTTAGTAGTATTATGGCATTTTTTTATTTAATTTCTAAAGAAATAAATTTTTTGAAGTTAAAATCTGGATTCTTATCACTGGTACCCAGTCCCAATTGGTTTTTACCGACAAGTATTAGGAACATTACAACAAATTCTGGTGTGGTCCACTGTCTGAAAACAGTTTCTCTCGTATTTTTTTTTTTTTTTTAGTTATTCACTAAATCTATCTTTAATCAATATGTGGAGTACAGTACTTGCTGCCTGTAATTTTTTATGCTAAATTTAGTGTTTCTGTTATTACAATTCTGAGAGAATCAGTGAATTCTGTAGTGCAGTTTTGGCTGCTAACTTGAAAACCTTGATTTTGTTTAGAATTTCAGTACAATACAGAACTGTTTAGGTAAACCTTGTGGTGCCACATGAGGCTTTATGTAAGGGATCCCCTTCATCCGAGCATGCACTCTCTTCTGGTCAGTGCATTGATTGGGCATCAGCGTTCTTGGTCCCAGCACACTGATTGGCTATCAGACCAGCTTAAGCACAGAATGTCACTGGACAATCATAGACCACCACTGATTTCCCTGATCCGGTGCGGCACAGTGAGGCTCGCTGTTCCGTACAGGAATAAAGGGGCATGCCAGCAATCAACTTCACTCTCTTCCTCACCAGCCACAGAAAGAACAACACCTTTCATCCAGCACCAGATGCAACTCTTCAAGCTACTCCAGACGCAACTACAGCCTCCGACACTCTGCTAATCATTCTACAGAACAAACTATTTTTGTAAATAGTTTTTCTTTCCCCATCTCCCAGTACCAGAACATCACTAAACCACAGTACGTGTTTGTAAAGAGTAGACAGCAAACTAAAGAGAACAGACCAAACACACTACATTGGTTCCACCAGAGTGACTCCACAAAATGGAAAATTGGCTATCTCATCTAACTGGATCAACACCCACAGAAATACACTGCATTGGTCTGCACTCTTCCCACAGAGGTGGCTACACAGGTATTGGAGGTTATATCCAGTCTTCTTGCTGAAGACAAATTCGCCACCCTGCAGACAACCCTCAAAAATCACTATCGCCAGCTGGACACCTCCCTCCTACAAGAATTGTCTGGGCAAACCTTGGGCGACTCGACTCACTGTTGTATGTGCACATTTTCAGTCTATTCCTTTTTGTTTATCTGCCAGAAAAGCTGCAAGTACTGTATACTTGAGTGTAAACTCTGCCACCACCACTACTATAAGGCTTCATGTAGCACCATAAATTCTTATGTGGCACCAAAAGGCCTCATGTGATAACAAAAGGCCTTATGTGGCACCTTAAATCATCATAAGGCACTTTGAGGCTTTTTGTGGCACCATACGGTGTCATATGTCACCCTGAGGACTCGTGTTGCAACAAAAAGCCGCATGTGATACCAACAAGGCTCCTGTGGCATCATAAGGCACCCCTGGGTCTTATGGGACACCATAAGGCCTCATATGGCACCCCTGGGTCTCATGGGACACTCTTTGGATTCATGGGGCACCATAAGGCCCCATGTGGCACCTTAAGGTTTGTGTGGCATCCAAAGGCCACATGTGGCTCTACAAGACCTCACATATACAGTATATAATTTAGACTTCTGATATATACTGTAGTACATAATATATGTATTATTTAAGTTTGTAAATTATTTTTAATTAAATCAAATACAGTAATAAAATATCCCACTTCAATAAAGCCTCTTGTTACATAAACACTTGAGTCCTTCTGCTACTGTAGTAAGAATGAGAAGTCTGTATTGAGTGGGAACTCCTCAGGAAGCTTTCCGCTGAAACAAACAAAGTGACCTGAATTAAAATGAATTGTATATTCTTAAAATATAATAAGTACTGTACGAAAACCATCATTCCAAAAATCTTCTGAAGTTTATACAGTGATCCCTCGGCTCGGTTAACAAATTACCTTCCATAAGAATCTTCAATTCGGTTAACGAACAAAAATTTGATTTACGAAATCCTTACGAAAATCACGTTTTGTTGTGAGCGTCAGCTGACGGCCCAGGCTGCCAATTCAGTGATCTGTTATGTTTAAATTTGTTTCCAATGGAGTAAATATCAATAAAGTTGAGCTTTTTAATATTTTTGAATGTTTTAGATTAAAATTATTAGTCATTTTAACATTAAATATTGATAATATATGCAGTACAGGGAACTAACATCACGTTTTGTTGTTGTGAAAATCAGCTTATTAGCTGAAGGGATACAGTACTCGGCCAATTCAGTAATCTGTTCTATGTTTAAATTCATTTCCAATGGAGTAAATATCAATAAAGTTGAGCTATTTAATATTTTTGAATGTTTTATATTAAAATTATTAGTCATTTTAACATTTATTTGACATATTGATAATATTATATGCAGTACAGGTTCAGTTTGGCTTTGTTTACTGTTGAGAGAGCAGCTATTTTGTTGGTGTCTTGAATATTTTTGCATTTTTCATTGAAATTATTGGTCATTCTGAACTTTAGTTCACATATTATATATATAGCGCAGTGCAATGTTGATTTAAAGAAAATATATTGAATTACACCAAGTGAACTTAAAATTTTAATGTTGAAATAAGGCATGAAGCATGGGCCCAAAGAAAGTGATTTCTCTTCCATACCGCTTCCTCCTTTTCTCCCTTCTCCTCCTCCACCCCACTTCTAATTCCCATCATCATCATCAACTAGGAGCTTTCTACATACACACCTCAAAGTAAGTGTACTTTACTGCATTATTTTTTATTTACTTTGTACGTACATTTGGTGAGCTGGAACCAATTGCCAAAATTTTTGGTTAACGAACGACCTTCTGGAACGAATTGTGTTCGTTTACCAAGGGACCACTGTATAACAAACACTGATCTGATGTCCACTTACCATCTAAAGAGTCTAGCTGGGTGTAGTCCCTTTAAAACAGCCGATTGTCCTGTCACATGTAATAGTGCCCCTTCTCGCAGGCCGAGCACTGCTGGCGTGTCTGGGATCTCGTGGTACTGGTTAATTCTCTCTTCACGAGTTTCCTGTAAATAAACTTAAGTTTTATTTTACTTTACAACACCCTTCACGAGTCCTGTACATCCCTGCAGCCAACACACACTCTCCCCTCATTTGCTGTTACAGTACTGTTACTGTATTCATTGATGTCTTACCTGCTGCATCAGAGGTGTTCTGCCATGGTATTACCCATCCATAAAAAAAAAAGCCAGAGGACCACATGAAGATTATGCACCCCAGCTTATTTCACCTCATGAATCATCCTCCTAATGGTAACCTAACCTGTCCCCCTCGGATTTACCAATGTTACTTTATACATCACTAATACAAAGTTTTTCATCACTTCAGTTTTACCTGATATACTGAGATCAACTACATAAGGCTGCCATTACTGTGACCAATAAAATACAGGCACTGTATCATGACTTTGTACTGCACTGGCTTCTTTTCTCAACTTTGCTATACATTATTTAAATTCTTTCAAGATACTGAAACAGGATAAAATAGATAAAAATACACAGTTGACCCTTGCTCTTCATGCAGGTTAGGTTCCATGGACCCCTGCGAACTATCAAAATCTGTGAATCATATTAGTGGCCATAATATTATATGTTTGAGATACTGTACTGTACTGGAGTCGCCCATAAACACAATTGTCTATGTTCCTTCAGTATGTTTTCTTTAAATAGGGTACATGTACATTGTTGCAAAACATTAATAAAACAATGAAGTCATACAATATAGTATACAATAGGTATGGTATAAAATAAGAGGGGGGCGATGACAGTCAGCTGGTCGCACTTTGTAACAAGCTATGATAATTTAATAGTGTACAAGTACTATACAATGGAATATCTTATCTGGGGTTGGGGATTTTTTCAGGAAATTTGATTATTTTACAATAATATTTTATTAACCCAGCACCAAATGAATGTAAATAATATATGAATTATTATGAAACTGCATACTGTCACATTAGAGCATCGAAATGATATTCCCAAAACTTTTACAGTTTCTTATATAACAATGGCACATGCACTGCCTTCTCACAGGTAACAAATGCCGTGTGTTTTGGTGATTTCTAGACTCGATATACTCCTACACTTAATTTTTTCTTATCTTATATCATTATACCAGTAATACTGTACAGCATGCAGTATTGTCTTTATTCATGAAGGACACTAACACATTGAAATGACTTACGCAAATTATGTGGTTACTTAACACAGCTAACAGTGGCACTAGCACTCAGTCGTGTGAGGGGTGATCAACTTATTTGGCATGGTGGAAACTTAACACTTGTAGGGCACTTTTATTATTTATTAGGGTTATTTTTACATTATGTGCTTTCACCACTATTTATGTGTCATATATGGGTACACACACACTTTGTATAAAACAGTGGATGATGCGGTAGACACTGTACTGTATAATGTCAACTCCATATGTGAAACAATTGTTGTGTAGCAAATTCCTTCCTATATTTGATAGCAATGTCTAAGTGAAATGACATACCCCCATGTGTTTGCTGGCAGGGTCGGCATCAATGTAGTGTGGATTGATGTTGAATGGGATGAGGGCCAGGGCAGTGAAGCTCGGAGGAAAAACGATGGGCATGTCATTTGTGGTGTTGATGCTCACTGTGGCCATATTAGTCCCAGCACTGCTCCCAATGTATGGAATACCATCCTGTAAAATCAAAGTTTGTAAGAGATGTGTACTGTAAGAAACAGACTTTGTGATAATAACCCTGGCAACTGAAGTAATTTAAACAAAAGTTACAACCGAAGACAAATGGTGTTTGTATGTCTGGATACAAATAATGAACCGAAAGGTATCCCAACAGGGAATGCTGATCCTAAAATGTGCAAATATTGCCTGATTCAAAGAGTCCCAGATGTTAAATACAATATCAATCTTTTGTGTTCAATTAGCACAATTCTTTTTAACTGTGCTTAAGATCAGCTCAATATAATCTTTTATTCCATCTCACTTTGACACAATGAGGTTAATATATAATGTTCAAAGGAACTGCATTTTTCCAATTTGAGTTGATGGAAACCAATACCATTATAAAACCATGCTGGACCAAATAGCTTTCACAGGAGGGGTCCGATAAATTTGGAACTGAACAATCCTGTTGTCTCACTAGGGTTGGTAGGCATGATTGTGAAACATTTCCTACCTATTATGGTAGACTTAATTTAGTTATTTAATTCAAAATATAAAATTAGGTCTTTGCAATATGATGGTGAATATCAGTGTCTTATGGGCCTTCATCAAAATCCTTCGTTTGTGGCGTCATGTTTTGCACAAGAATAGTAAAGATAGTTTTTTATCAAGTGTACTGTACATTGCAGTATTGTTTGGCAACAGATCAATGAACAATTTGAGGATCCTCTGATGATTAGCTCCCACAGCTTATTTAACCCGATGATTAAACATCCTAACATAACCTGAGGGGGGGGGGGCTACCATTAGGGTGGTTAATCTTAGAGTAAAATCAGCTGAGGGGCTAATCTTCAGGTGTTCCAAATTTGGACAGAAAGAACAAGAAACCTTCACCTACCTGTAGTACTCTTTTACGAATAGGTTCAATTAATTTGTTATCATAAAGTGACTTGAGAAGCTGGAAAGTGTTGCCTCCACCAATAAATATTGCTTCAGCATTATTCACAGCAGAGACTGGATCTTCGGCTTTGTGTATGCTGTCCAGCTCAAACCCTGTAAAATTTGATAAAATCAGGAATCAAATCTTGAAAATTACTATTAAAATTATGAAAGTGAACCCCCCCCCCCCCAGAAACTTAGGCCCAAATATGTTAAGTGAACCTCTTATCTGTTTATCAATCTATTGTATTATATTTGCTTCTCTTCCACTTCCATGTTTGTTCATACAAAGATAAAGGAAAATGATACAGTATGAGAGTGTTGGACAACAATCATAAGGACATCAGAACTACAAAGCTATACAGTATTTTTAATAAATTCTTTTATCGAGCACAACCATCTCGTCTTTAACTGAACCAGAGGGAGTGTAACATACCCCAAGATGTGAACTTCTTTTGAGCTGTCTCTGCGTAATTGTCCATCTTGCGGAGGGCGTAAGGCACAAATAATACCCGCTTCACATTTTTACTGTTGGAAGGAGAGAGAATCTGGTTAACAAGTTTACAGAGCAAAAGAACTAGTGTATAGTATTAAAGGTCTGTACTGATACTTAAAACCAGATATCTTGACAGTTTTAACTATTAAAATATAAAAACTAAATGTAGATAGAGCATCGATGGAGTCCTAAATGTACCTAACATAAAAGTCTAGTGAGTGTGTCTTGTAAGGTGTGGCCTTCTCTTTCTCCACCTTCTGTAGTTCTGCTTTACTCTCCACAAAGCACTTAAGAGACCTGTCACTAATGGCAACTTCTCGCCCTCCAGCTTCAGTTTAATCTTGGTGATAAACATAGCACACTGACCAATTTAGCACAGACCAGTAAGTTCTTTGAAATAATTCAGGTTGGTATTGGATCCTTCCCACCCAGAAATAGTATATTAAATAAAAACGACCTCGCCTAAGCCAAAGTCAGTATATTCTATAAGGAAGGGCTAGTATCCTCTTTCCTCCTACACCCTTGAGTTTAGTGCTTGTCAGTAGTTTTTACAAATAGCAATACAGTAGTCACAGAACATAATGGTCACACGGTTCCTACAAATTACTTAACTAAAGTCCCATAATTGTAGTTCCAATAAACTTACTGCTTTTATTGTTAAGTATACATTATAAAGGTTAAATAGTTCTTATTGAGGAGTCACTTTACCCAGTCAAAAACTCCTTGATATGGTGAGCAGCCCACTCCAGGTACCCACTGCCATGAACAGTGGAGTTGGAGAGCAGTAGTAAGCTCCTTGACGACATCTTTTTGGTCTCCCTGGATCGCCTGAAACAAGTGTAAAGTACGTCTTCAAGTACTGTACATACACACAAAGGTGCTGTGCAGTCATTAGCCGCTTGGGCGGTCGGTCACGTCTTTTACACACTGTTGGCAAGTAACGGGCATGTACTGGCTCCTGAATGTATTTGTACCAATGTTGCTCAAGTGATCTTGAATGAGCTTACACTCAAGTGCCATGACACTGGCAGATTGTTCCAAGAAGGAATTGTTCAATTTCGTTAATTTTTTTCCACAGATGTTATCATCATTATAGTAAGTATTTTAAACGAGGTGACAACTTTTTATTTTCATAAGTATTTTTTTTTATCTATCAACGATCATAAATCACCTGATATGACACTAAAATGTTGTCTGCATGCTTTGTATGTGAACAAATGAATTATTTACTCTAAATTCTCCTCCAAAAAATCTGCCGCTTCACCACATATTGTTTAATTGTTAACCGACCCACTCGGTCCCGGTGTACTCTCACATCCACAAAAAACATAATTACACCATGATGCTACAATAAAATTGCCTTCACTGGTACCAGGTATGAAAATGAGTACAATACAGCACTTTCTTTTTAATATAGCGGAGGCTTCCCGGCTAGGAAGTTAGGTAGGTTTCTTTGGTAGATTAGGTCAGGTTCTATTAGGTTCTGTGCTTTGTTGTATAAGTTTTATTACTTTCTATCATGCAATGAACATCCGTGGAAAAAATGAACGGAATCAAACAACTTCCGGTGGTAGCAGTGTTCTGATACATTACCCCAAAAATGTTTGCCCCAACAATAATTTGTACTTGTGGCTTCTTCCACATTAAGCTGTGGTTAGCTCAAACTCCAACAGCAGATTATGAATGTTAGTTATGAATTCTTTATCTTTTTATCTGTGCTGGAGCTTTATGTTGGCAAGAAGTGTTCAGCCTGTATATGTCTTGTCTGTTGATGGTCTTAATGCTAGACTTTTAAGTATTCCATTTAACTGGTTTCAATACTTGCCAACAGTGTAGACCTGCCCCACAGTCGACTGCCCAATAAGCTGTAACCATTAATCAACAGTGATACCAGTAAGCCGACACCAGTAAGTTCTCAACTGAAGGAATACCTGCTAAGTGAGTGTCAGGACTCGGTTATTTCACTTTTTTTTCATAACGTCTCACACCTGATAATATGTCCGTGTAGAACACTCATAACTGTGATAGAATGACTCGATACCATAAAAAAATATTAATAAAAATACGTCAATATTAGAAGAGGCTGCTCAGTACCAATGAACATCAACAGACGGTGTGTGTCAGGCAGGACCAACGGGATAGCATTACCATTCATTATTTTACCACTGATAAACTGGTCACATTACCTGCCTTTATCACCTTATCATTGCAAGAGGGGTGTGGTTATTTATACTAGGCAAGGTCTTAGTGTCAGCCAGATGAGTGTACAGGGGGTGGATATTTCTGAAGAAACCAAATGATGTAAAATTAAATTAAAGGGAAAAGACTATTGTCGGGTGTATCTACAAATCCCCCCATTCTAGCTTACTAAACCAAAGGAACTTTAACTATGGCGATATCGACTGGAGAAACGAGTTCAAACTAAACGACTTAAGTAACCCCGTTACTCTTTTTTGTAGAAACTCCAAGAGGTAATTTTCTGTTCCTACATGTTAAGGACCCGACACATTACAGAGGGGAGCAAACACCCAAGCCATTGGACCTCATCATAACAAACGAGGAGGGTATTATGGTGGCCAGACTGGAACATCTGAGTGTAGGACAAAAGTCCCCCAGGCTAAATAATAAGAATTTTTAAAATAATTATTTAATTTTTTTACGGTTTATGAACACTTCCCAAACATAGCCAAGCCTCGCCAAGCCAAGCCTAACCTAACCTAGCCACATTGGTGGCAGCGGTGGGATGTAATTTATATGGTATCAAGGTCAGGAGGAATAAATGTGATTCTGTGGGTAATTTTTGTGTTTAAATGTGAGCTGTAATAACCATTTCTCCGTGCATCTACCTAACCATGTCACTGTAACTAATGAATATTTCAGAGTGCTAATAATCTTGTAATGGAAATTTTTCCCAGTGTACAGTATAGTGTAATTCTGTGCAAAATATTTTTGAGGTTACGGAGATGTTGAAAACAGTTCACGGCAAATACTTTACTTGGAGCCAGGTTAGAACATGGGCCTCGAGAAAATTAGAAATCTGTTTTAAAGTAAAGTGTACAGTAAAATGTGAATACCTGTAATGTTCAAGTACTGTATTGAAAAGTGTCTGAAAAACAGAGGTTAGCTACCTAATTTTTTTTGCAGTCTTTTGTGAAATCTCAGAAAAGTGTTGGTTGTATGCCAAGGTAAAATTTTTTTTGGGTGCCTTTCTGCACTGGTACCATAGCAATTGTTGTGATCACCCGAGTTAATACTTTGTTATTTACAGACAATGAGGGACATTGATCATGTGCCGTGTTACGAGTGTTGTGGACAGTATCGATTTCTGAGTGTACCAGAAGGCCATAATTATATTAAGGTTATGTAACAGTGTTATTTGTAATTGACATAAAATGGGTGTAGTTGTTTTAATTTTAATTGGAAGTGTTTAGTTATAAGTTGAGGTCAGAATTGGGAAAGTGAATTTAGTTGTATAACCTGTGTTGTGTTAGATACCCGAGTATTTTGTATTTTTTGTATTGTTTCTATTAGTATGATTTTTAGTGCATAGAGCATTAGTTTCTAGCAGTGTAGATTTACAGGCAATGTCATTAAGTGTGTTTTATGTTTATTTGAGATCTAATACATGTATAATTTCAGCAATTGCTTTGATGAGTTGAGGACTCTATGGTGATATGGACATCTGTAAAAGAACGCAATCTTTGAAAATTGATTGGTGAAAGTACATGTAAGGACCCCCCATTTGTGAGTACAACAGAGTAAATTGTGAAATGATAAGTGTTGAAATCATTGCAATTGAAAAGACAGTGAACATTTGTTGAGTACTGAGGGGACAGTCTCGTAAAGTATTACCACTTTATTTTGTGAAAGTGACACTCAGTAATGGAAATGTCTGATTCTTTTTTTAAGTTTGATTTGTTATAGTACGGTGTAATTCCGGAAGAGTTAATACAGTGTTGCACCCTACAGAGATTGACAATAACAAGTACCATTGCCTTTGAGTGTGCACAGTAAGTTTGTCTTGAAAAGTGACAACCAAGTACAAGTTCACATTTCAGTATTATTACTACGGGTAATGAGTAATAAGTTGAGTAGAAATTTGTGCAATAATTTTGAGCCAGTATTTCAAGTGTTCTCATGTATTAGAAGGACAGTTAGGCAGTAATCCATTTGTTTTTGAAAGTGTGCACTGTGCCCGTGTTGTGTAGTACAGTGAGTAGTTGTGACCTCCAGGCATGATGGCCATCACCAGAGAACAATTCAGGGCAGTCAGCTCAGGACCTGTGTCCAGTAAGTTGATGTGTAGACTTGAGAAGTATGAGGGTGGAGACATGTTAATTTTCAGGAATGACACCCAGGTTTCACCACCAGTTGCTTCATCAGGTGCATGGCCTGATGGACAAGGAAGTGTAGAAAAGAAGAGTGTGGAATGCCTCTCTTGCTAGTTATGTGAGAGACGAGCATTAGTGTTACCGAGATTTCTTTAAAGGGCTGTAGACTTTGACTGGAAGGAATTGATTGTTGACATGCATGGTGAAGAGTGATGTTTTGCATACATGTGTTGCAATTGAGAAGTACAACTGGTAAGTGAGTACCTTGTTTGCCATGTGAGTTGTGGAATGTTTGTGATTTTTTTTTCTTTGATTTTTTTTTGGATGGGGATTGTCAAGTGCAGTAGACACAGAGATTGGAAGATGGATTGGCTGTTATGCAATCATCTGATGGGTATCTGTTACTAGTTGAGTAAAGATACCAGTTGAGAGTTCTCAAGTTTTGCCGGTAAAGCCCTAGCTAGGCTTATTGTGGATGTGTATAGGAGTAATGTTCGTGACTTTTAAGTGGAGTCAGGCCTCGACAATGGCGCTGATTTTACTACATGGCTAATGCCATAAGTACAGATAGTTAGGTTTGACTGTACTCCCACAAGGACCATTAGGATGTGCATGTATTCTTAGGAATCTCTGCTCGTTGGGGATCCTTCGAAGGTTGCTGCCTTTCGCGAGTAGGAGAGGGCTCTTTAGTTTAAAGCCCAACATGTCATTCCTTCGACTTGATGGGGTCTGTTCATCTACGTCCTAGCTTGAGAAGTCTAAGTTAAATCTCAGTGGTGTCGAGTAAGCATTTGATCAGTCTCCTCTTTGAACTATGATATGGGAAACGGTGTCTTCAGAGTTTGTATTGTGTAACAAATTTTTTATGTTATGTATGTAACCCCATTTTTATGTTTTTTCTTTATTGTTGCATTATTTTCCTATGTATGTTTAATTACTTGTATTTTGTTTCCCTATGCCATGTTGTCAATGATAATGGATTAATTTTATTTTTGCTAGTGTTTATCCCATGTATGTAACCATTGTTTGTTTTATTTTGTATGCTTTTGTACCAGATACCTGTAAGAGTCCTGATGTGTTTTACGAGTGTATGTAGTGTGAAACCGTGACGAAAGGTAACAGTTGTTTAAAGAATCTGTGTAATTACCGTACATGTTTTGCGAACGTTACTGCATAATATAAATCTTGGGGAAGGGGGAAGCTTTGTCATGATCGTGATGACGGCTAACCTGAAAACCTTAAGGATTCATATTACGCTCAAACGTCCACAAAACCTTCTGAGTCCCCCAGTGGAAACGTCCCCCGTTTTCTCTGTTTCCCCGTCTTTGTTTAGTGGGAACTTTGAATGTAATCCACGGATTTAGTAGCAGACGCTGTATGTTGGGACCTGTTGCCATCCAACCCTTTGTAATCAATTTAATTTTGCTTTTGATAGCTGAGTCAGAGCATTGTTAGTGAAGATAATAGTAGGGAATGAAACTGAGTTCATAGTCTCAATTTCAACGTCAGAGTGTACAGTGAATTAATTCATCGGAATAGAAGTAGGTGGACTCCCTGGTCTGTTTTGAGTGAGGGCCCCGCGGGCATTTCTACCGTTAGTGAGTGCCCGTCCCTTCATCCATACAGATCCCATGGTGATTCTTGAATCGCTCTACCATCCAACAACGGCCTCGGATGTATTAGATGTCCAGCCGGGATCATATATGAGAAGATGGCACCGATGCGGCCTGATTAATGTGCCCCACGGCTTCGTTGGGCCAGACCCCAGACCCGCCATGTGTCTGGCTACCCCACAATAACAACAGCCCCAGTGCTCTACCCTGGGTTACTCCTTGGAAGTATATGTCCACAGAGAGTGTTGTAACATGTATGTTAGGGATAATTAGTTGGAAATAATTATCCCATGTTGGGTAGTGGACCCCTGCATATACTAGTGTCATTGTTTACGTATATGTTGAATAATCTACAATGAGTGCCATGTAATGTACCACCAGTAATGTTGTGAATAAGAGTAAAGAAGAAGGTACTGAGTTTGCTCTAAGCCCAGGAGGTGAGCCTGGTAATTATATGATTAATACAATATCTTTCCCCCATTGATTGCATATTAATAAATTTGTTTTTAGAGTACTTTAGGTGTATTCATTTCTCCCACAGTATTTTACCTTTATTTCCATCCAAGTGACCTGATACCAAAATTACCATACTCATGTGCCTAGACCCTCGACCATGCTACCAAAAGAATGCCCAGGCTACCAAAAGAATGACCATGCTACCAAAAGAATGACCATGCTACCAAAAGAATGTCCATGCTACCCAAGAATAGGTGACGGAACTGAGTAAGAGTAAGAACTAAGAGAAGTAAGTAAGATGAGGTTGGTGTAGAAAGAGAGAGGGAACCCGCCCCCTCACATTGGTGACAAGACCAAGAATCCGCCCCCTCACATTGGTGGCAGCCCAAGAATCCGCCCCCTCACAGTAAGACATGTTTTTGGCCAAAAATTTGATTTTGCTGAAAATCTCAGTATACCGTATGTACTCTGAGCATGCTGATTGCAAAGAAAACTGCCTGACTTGTCTTCTTGTGACAGACTATATTCACAAGATGTAAAAGTGCTTCTTTGGAACACTAGAATCATAGAACCATAAATCCTACAGTATTTTAGGCGGAATCATGCCCTATTCTGGGGAGGAATCCTATGGTATTCTGGGGCGGAATCCTAACGTATTCAGAGGCGGAATCCTACCGTATTCTGAGGC